TGAAAATAAAGCCAAGTACATATTTCGGGGGTTAAAAGAAAATGAGGACCCAGATTGTTGTTGGGGGCAATATGCTGACTCTGTAAACCGCTTAGAGAGGGCTGAAAACCCTATGAAGTGGTATATAAGTCTAACTGCTATTGCTATTGCTATTGCAAGGAGTATAAATCCTTCCGTTCCCCACCATCCAGTTCAGAGCTGAAGAAGCTTCTTGGAGGAGAAGTAAAACATCCTCAAAACCAAGGAAGCCCAGTTGCCTCTTGAAAAAAGCACCTTTGTGACTTCATTTTGATAGCTTCTTTTTCCCCGCTGTAGATAAGAATACACAAACATACATACAGATAGTCCTCCCACTTACAGCCATTAGTTTAGCGACTGTTTAAAGTTACAACTGGAAAAAACAGGACTTAAAGTGACTGGTCATCACACTTCCAACCATTTGCAGCATTCTTACAGTCACAAGATGACAACTCGGGCGGTTGCCAACCGGCGTGTATTTACAATGGCTGCAGGGTCCTGAAGTCACGTGATCGCCATTTGAATGCTTCATTTAATAGCTGCACAGATTTGCTTAATAACCATGGCAAAAAAACCTTCATAAAACCGAGTGCTTCATCTTGCTTAGCCATGGAATTTCTGCTCTCAGTTGTGGTCATAAGTCGAGGACTAGCTGTTTGCATATATTACCAGTGAAATTCCTGCAGACCTGGCAAAATAGGATAGGAGTGGAATCTCTAATACAGGGGTGTCAAAGGCAACGCCCGGGGGCCGAATCCGGCCCGCAGGATGCTTAGATCTGGTCCGCGGGGCCACCTTGGAAACAGTGAAGGACTGGTCCCTGGTGCCTCTGCCAACAAAAACAGAGCTCAGGAGGACTGCGTGTGACCCTCCTGAGCTCCATTTTCGCTGGCAGAAGGTTGCAGGAGGCCATTGCAGCCGAAACGAAGCTCGAGAGCCCACTTTCGCTGGAAGAGTACTCGGGCCACCACAGGCGCCCCCAACACAAGTGACATCGAGCTGGCCACCCCCCCACTCCTCAAGGTCAAACACAACCCTGATGTGCCCCTCAATGAAATTGAGTTTGACACCCCTGCTCTAATAGCTCATACTTGTCCAAAAAATGATACAAAGCCCATTAAACCAGCTACATGGTCACTAAACAGCGACACTAATTTGAAGGCACATCATGAAGCCTCATATTTTCTTCTGTTGGTGTTTACCAAAATTAGCAGGGTAAATTTCAGTATAAGAAAGAAAGAAAGCTTTTAAAAAACATTCAGAAATATTCAAAGGTTTAGAGTGTTTAATGATTTGGTGTTTTTTTCTTTCCATATACTTATTCGGATGTTGCATTCCATAAAATGGTGACCTCTCTGTTTTTTATTTCTTTATTTTCTTTTAACAGCTTAGAGCACACGCCGTAGATATGAATGGGAACAAAGTGGAGAATCCAATTGATCTCTACATTTATGTGATCGACATGAATGACAACAGGCCGGAATTCATAAACCAAGTCTATAACGGATCTGTTGATGAAGGATCTAAACCAGGTATGTCTGAATGTCTCATAAAGCTATTTTTAGATAATAGACTCGAGTTGGACTATTAATCTGTTATTTAAGAAATCTGGCTTGTCTTAGATCAGAATATTAGAGAAACAAGATAAAGTTTGATATTCCGAAGCAGAGGAAATGTCTTATTCTGAAATACACATTTAGCCTGTATCACTGTTCCTCCTGTCGGATCAGAGAATAGAAAAAGAATTATACATTCAATTTTGCAGCTACTAAGATTGTTGGGCGAGCAGGCAGAAAAACAGCCAGGGAAGTGATTGAAGCCTGGGAAAGAGGTCCCCCATCACCAGGAATGCTGATTTACCACCAGCTTATCAAGTACCAAGCTATGGTGGCACAGTGGTTAGAATGCAGTACTACAGGCTACTTCTGCTAACTGCTGGCTGCCAGTAGTTCAGCAGTTCGATTCTCACCGGCGTAAGGTTGACTCAGCCTTTCATCCTTCCAAGGTCGGTAAAATGAGGACCCAGGCTGTTGGAGGCAATAAGCTGACTCTGTAAACCACTTAGAGAGGGCTGCGAAGCACTGCGAAGCGGTATAAAAATCTTAAGTGCTAGTGCTAAGTGCTACTTAGCAGGCAAGGGCTGGGCAGCACAAGCAAATAATAGCCAAAGACTTAATAGCCAGCTATCAACACACCCCAATCAACATCTAAAAAGCCACATACAACAGGCAACATATAAATACCGCACACTCTGCTAGAGAGAAGTTCTCTGAAGATGGGCTCCGGATACAAGTCCAAAAGCTTGGAAAACAAAACCTCTGTTCCTGGTGACTGACCCAGATTGGTTCCTGCAATGGAAAAGAGGAATCAAATATTTTTACTTGATGTCCTTCGAAGGCAATGCGGAAGGATGAGGGTTTGCTTCTTCAATATTGTGCAGTCCAGAGGTGGGTTCCAGATCCCATCACAACCGGTATGCTGTGATGGGGCTGGATGTCCCTCCTCAGGTACGCACGCTGTGCACACATGCGCACAACACCACCCTGCGATGCCTCAGCTGCTCGGCGGAGGTTGCACAGGCACCATACACTGTGCGCGCATGCACAATTGGCACGTTTCCCTCAAACAGCAGCAAGGAACGTGGGTGGGCTGGTGGGCCCAACGAGCCACTATTCCAGTACGGTGGCCGCTGCTCCCAGCTACCACCAGTACACCCCAGAACCCACCACAGGTGCAGTCATGTTTTAGTGGCTAGGAACATCCAGTTTAGGCCACCGGTGTTCCAGGCCTCTGTCAGGTTCAAGCCCAAACACAACACAGTGAAATGAAGTCCAGATTTTTATTTGCACTGATGACGTCACCTAGTTTGAGTAATGAAACATCTGCACGAAAACAGCCAAGCTTAGAGAGCACCAAGGACTCCTCAGTTTTTTCACTTGCTAATTAAAAATAGGCACCCCAATAGACGGAATCATTCCAGACTAAAGCTATAACTTTCTCATCTAATCGATATACCCTGGGAGATTTTATCCTGAACCTCATCCAGTTCTGGACTGCAGAGTCTCTTACTTTGGGTTATTCTCCAGATTGTATGGACTCTTCCTGGGAAGCTGTGATGCATCTGTTTGTTTGTTTGTTCATTACATTTATATACTGCCCCTCTCATCAATAAGGTGACTCTGGGAAGCTTACAAACAGTACAAATATAGAAAATTAAAATTTTAAATGCTACATAACAATTAATATCACATTACCACCTTATAAGGCCGTGGTAAGGCCACACTTGGAATACTGCATTCAGTATTGGTCGCCACAATGTAAAAAAGATGTTGAGACTCTAGAAAGAGAGCAGAGAAGAGCAAGAAAGAGGATTAGGGGACTGGAGGCCAAAATATATGAAGAACAGTTGCAGGAACGGGAGATGTCTAGTTTAATGAAAAGAAGGACTCTGGGTGACGTGATAGCTGTGTTCCAATATCTCAGGGGCTGCCACAAAGAAGAGGGAGTCAAGCTATTCTCCAAAGCACCTGAGGGTAGGACAAGAAACAATGAATGGAAACTAATCAAGAAGAAAAGCAACTTAGAACGAAGGATAAATTTCCTGACAGTTAGAGCAGTTAATCAGTGGAACAACTTGCCTCCAGAAGTTCTGAATGCTCCAACACTGGAAATTTTAAAG